TCCGCGCTCATTGCGTCTCCGGCTTCGCGTCCCACCTTGTTTTCGATCTGCAGTGCGCGCAGGCGACGGCGGACGAGCGTCAGCATAAGATGGGATGAGCGGGGCGCGGGTCGCTTCGGGCGTCGCGGGAGCGCAGTAGGCATGGATGGCGGTCACTGTTGCATCCGGGTGTGCGCAAGATTCGCGTTGCCGAGCCTGGGAAGGAGCCGCTGGCGAGGCGGTCGCAGCACGGCGGGAACAGGCACGAGCGCGCTGCAGCGCATGAGATGTGGGGCGAAATAGCCGGGCACGCTCGCGCAAGGGACAACACGCGCCCAAGGCAAGGCGGGGCGGGCAGGTGCACCTGCTGGACGTCATGGACGCTCGGTTTTGAAGCACGAATTTTTGAAAGAATTCTCGGCACGGCACTGGGCACGGGGACTGTAGGGTGCCCACAGGACCCAAAAGAAAATAGCTTTCCGACTCAAAAAGGGACGCACGCGGCAAATCTGATGTTGGAGTGTTCCAATAGGTATAGGAGCGAGGCCTCTTCCGTTGGGGGACCGAGTGACTAGGAAACGAGGGTTCCCCATTGTGTCCCGCTCCAGCGCGAGCGTGACACTGCACTTGGCGCCGAGCGCCCGCGGCACAGACCTTGTGCAGGCCACCCCTCATTGGGCACGCCGGTCCGGACCGCTGGCGCTCGGTGTGGAGCAAGCAAGACCCCCCCCCCCCATCGGCGCGCGCTCGCCATTCCAACGGCCGCCAGGAGCACCAAGAGGACTCCTCATGGCTGTGCCCAAGTGGGCTTCGACCGGCCTCGGCGGGGGGGGCGGGTTGTCCCGGCTGCGGACGCCTTCTGCAGCCCCCTGGGATGGGGACAGCACCCCAAAACTGCCCCTCGGCGGCATACAGCACTGCCAGCCAGCCTCTTCCTCCTCCTCAAGGGCTGTACTATAGGCCATATTTGCGCCGCCTCCTACTGGCAGCCGGGCGGGCGCGCGCCGCGGGCGCCTCGGCGCGCGCACGGCTCGCAAAGTTCGAACGAGTACTGCCGCCCGGCCGCCTCAAGGCTGCCGGGCGGCAGTACTCGCCTCGCAAGGCGCGCACCGGCTGCTCTGGCTGCTGCGCCGGCGGCCGCTGCGCTGTGGCCGCTGCTGCGCCGGCTGGCGGGCGGTACGGCCGCCGCCGGCCGCTGCACCCGCGCCTTCCCTCGCGGGCGCCGGCGCGCCGCGCGCGCCCAACTCTGCTGGTACACGGCACGCGTCGTCACACAGCCGCGGAGAACAGGCGGTGCTGTGCGTGAAGCGCGCGCGATCTCGTACTTTTAAGGCTGGATCCGGCCATTCCAAGGGTAGCGCTAGCATCGGCCGCCCATCGCCGCACGCGGCCTCCTCCTGCCGCTCGTCATCCTCCGCCTCGAGGGCGTCCGCCAGCGCGCTGCGCCGCACACCCCGGCGCACAGGAGGCGGCGCCGGCCGCACCTCGGCCGCCTCGGCGGCGCCCGCGGCACGGGCGCCATGCTGGCCGTCCGCGCGGTCCATCGCCGCATCCCCATCCCCGTCTGCGGCAGCGCCGCCTGCGCCTGCGCCGGCCTGCTCTGGGACGGCGCGCCACCGCTCGTCGTCCAGCATGTGCCACCACCGCCGATCCGGGTAGCCGTCGTACTCGACCTCGTGCACGATCCGTCCGTCCCCGTCCTCCTCCCGCGCCATGACGGTCGCAGGGTACCACCGCTCACTGTCGCAGAAGATCTCGAGGCGCGATCCGGTGGACAGGACAGTGTGGCCGTCGAGCGCCGCCCTGGCATCCTCGCGCTGTCGCTTCCGCCGCTTCGCCTTCGTCTCCTTGCTGCGCAGCAGGGTGTAGTTCGGGCCCACCTCCGCCACGCTGTCCAGCAGCTGGGCGGCGCTCGCCATCTCGACCGCGTCGTCCTCCGGCGGAAACTCCGCGTCGCCCGCGGCCGCTTCCCGAGCGCGCTCGTCGCGCATCCGCTCGTGGTGGGCCTGCCGACGCGCCACGCCGGCGCCCGTGTGCCTCGCCGCCGCGTCCGGTGACGGCATCGGTCGCTGCCACAGGTCGTCCCAACAGGTCGTCCCAACAGGTCGTCCCAAGGGGACGCATCCAAACCGCCGCATTTCGCCCGCCGAATTCTCCCACTCGCTCTGCCCCAATCTCGAACAAATCTCGAGTCCTCTCACTAGTTACATACATACCTTTGAGAATCCCCAGCGTCCCTCCCTACTAGTCACACTCTCAATATCTCGACTCTCCAACACGAAGTGCTGCGATCGGGGGTGGCCCATTTCTTTTTTCTTTTCTTTTTTGGGTCCTGTGGGCACCCTAACAAGGGACAGCGACAGGCTCGCAGCACGGTGGACTCCCTATTCCACTGGCGATCTCTCTCGACTAGCGACCTTCCTCCGGCTTCTCACCAGAGAGAGAGAGAGAGATTTTTAGCAATACCAAACAACAGTTGTTTGTTGTTGCTCACCAGCAGTCTCTCACTACCATAATTCATTTAAAGAAAGAAAGAAAACAGACAACCCAAGGGAGGGATGGGAGAACGGCACGCCGTCACCACACAGGGATTTTAAGGAGAGGAGTGTGATGCGCTAGCCGTCGCCCACCCTGGGGAGTCTGCTTCTTCGTATCTCTTTTCGCAGTCTCTCGCCGCTTCTCGCTGCAACCTTCATGCCACCTCGCGGCCGTCCCACTCTCGTCGTTCTCTCCCTTGTCACTTCCTCCTCTGTCGCGTCGTTCTCTTCTGCCTCGTCCTGCGGCGCCGCCGCCTGCCGGTCCCTTGATCTCGCGGCTTCTTTCGCCTTTCGGCGCAACTCCGTCCTCCTCGCGGCGTATCCTGGCCCCTCAAGTCTATCGAGCTCCCCTCGCGCAAGTACCACATTTCTCAGGGGTCTGATCTTCGGACTTGACCTTTTTTTGGAACCTCAGACGCCGGCGCACGCATCGTGGATGAAAAATGAGATGTGCGCATTTGCACAAGTTTCAGGATGGGATGGAATTTACACAACAGGCAGTGGTCGGTGGGCGCTGGGAAAGGGGGAATTGGTTGCAGACAGAGCAATGGCCTGCCCGAAGTAGTGGTATTGGACACGGCTGCGGGGTCTGAACTTTGATGCACACTCGCCGGTGTGGAATTGTTGGACACCTTATGCACATCCATGCCCACGGTTCGTAGGACCTAGGACGTCGCTGAGACGTCGTGTAACGTGTATTTTGGTGCCGTGTAAGATCGTTTCAGTTGGCCAAGAGCCTTGATCACTTCGCGTACCTTTCTTCTTGCCGGGTGGCGGCTTGACATAATTAGTTCTCACACGATGATCTGTGGGTGATGGCATAGAGACTGTGGCGGGCAGGGTTCGTGATTTCACATACATGGAAACCGAGCGAATCGGTTTCACTCTCACTTTCCCTTCACATTCGTTTTCATGTGAGCCCGAGCGCCGTCGACCGCACCGCCTCCGGCAGCGCCCGTGGCTTCGCCCAGCACCACTCGCAACAGCTCTCGCGCGCCGCCGTCTGTGGCGACGCGCAGAACATCAACAACGCTGCTCGCAACATGCGTGTCGCGCACTCATTCATGACCGGTCTCAATGCCCCACCCCCCTGCGCGTCAGACCAGGGCTCAGTGTGCAGTGGGACGCGCGTGTTGCGCCTACCGTGTGGCCTTCCGCGAGATCACTCGAGATCACCCGAGACCACCCGAGATCACCCGAGATCACCCGAGAGCGCGTGCTGCGCCTACCGTGTGGCCTGCACCCCGACACACGCTCGGCATCTACGGCGTGGCACATGCGCGAGAGCACCACCCCCCAAGCGGCGCCGTGGTCCTCCCCGTCGTCGCACACGCGGTCGTCGCCCCCGCCTCTAACGCCTGCGGGTCGCGGCAGGGTCGCGCCTTCGGACAGGCCGCTCAAAGAAGGTGGCCGGGCGGGGGCGGCGGCGAGGTGAAGGCAGCGCGGTGGGTCGATCTGTCTCTTCGGTGCTCGCGGTTGGGTCGATCTGCTCGACCGGCGCCCCAGCCGACAGTGATGCTGTCGCCGTAGAAGGCGAGCCTACTCGCGTCGTGCGAGGTCATTAATTAGTTGTTAATTAATTAAACTAATTTAATTTGTCGCCGTAGAAGGCGAGCCTACTCGCGTCGTTTTTCTTTTTTGCGAGGTCGTCCGATGTGAGGGCGCCGCTCGCGGCCGCGTGGAAGGTGCACCGCCGCCCCTCGCGCCAGGGCAGCGCAGCCTCGGAGAGGTCGGAGCCCTGCGAGAGGGAGAGAGGCCGCGGCGTGTAGAGGCCGCGATGTGTGAGAGGCGGAAAAAGCAGACAAGCCGGCTCAGCCTCACCTCGTCGAAGATGAGGCCGCCAAAGATGGCGGCTCCGAAGCTGGGGCACCAGTCGCAGGGCGGCCTCGCGCCACACGCCTGTGCGTGTGTGTGCGGCGAGGGAGGGAGTCGGGGTCACGGCTGAACTCCGGGATGGGAGGGAGAGGATCGCGCCTCGGTCAGCTTGAGGACCATCACGCCTCGCGGCTCGGCGGACAGACCAGAGAAGAGCTCGTACGAGCCGTAGTGGCCCCATGCAGTCTTACGGCCAGCGCTGGTGAGGATCTCGCGGTGGCGGCGGTACCTGCGTTGTTGATGACTGTCACCGGTCGCGCCGCTATGGCACTCGGAAACACTGTTTCGAGTCGAGCGCCGTCCGGGTGACGTGTTGTGCATTGGCGGCGGTGCCTCGTCAAGTTGTCGGGCTCGCTGACCCGCCGGGGGGGGGGGGGAGCACCGCGTGGCACGAGAATCACAGGCGAAATGCCCTCAGGAGTGACGAGGGCGCGCATGCGGGCACGAACCGACGCGGGCGATGGCGGCAAGCACTGGATCGCCGAGCCGGGCGTCCTGTAAATTTTCTTTTTATTCTCTCCCGGACATCATGAAACGCCGCTCGCCACAAGCAAAGCCCAACGCGCCGGCGACAAAGGCCAGCAGGACCGCGTCGTCGAATGTGTACATTGTTCGATGGACGCGCGAGACAAAAATCGACGGGTGGGATTACGAAGGCCTCAACGAGATCGAGACGTGCGGTGGCACAGAGGAGGAGGCCGTCCAGTACGTGAAAGACGAGCTCTTCGCCGTCAAGGGCTTGGACAAGGACCTCGGCTCGTACAGCTGTTTCGCGGACGAGGCGAGCGCGCGCGCCGCTGTCGTCGACTGCCTCGCCTCGCTAGTGGAGACGGTGCGGCACGGCGTGCGCGAGGCCACGGGTCTCACAGCGGCGGGCCTCGCTCGCGCGAAGAAGACAGATGAGCTCGTCGAGAAGACGACGGCAGGCGGAATTCCTGGTGTCGAAGTGACGGGGGATGTCGAAGAGGGCGCGCACATCTCACCGTCGTGTCGCGAAGCGATTCACGGCGTCTACTTCAGCATCTACACCATCTACTTCAGCAAGGTTGAAGGAGAGGACTGCGGGTGCATTGAGGCGATGCACTCGTGTGACACCGTCGCAACTCACGTGTCCGTGTGGGTTGAGAAAATGAACATCGTGCAGTAAGCATATCGTAAATATCGATTCATACTCGTGTGTATCTAGCTATCGGTGTGCTGCCTCTGATGGCACAAAGAGCTTAGCCTTAGGCTTCCCAACAGGGCAGGGAACCCCCAGCGCGCAGGCGAGGCCCACGGTACTCGGTAGCCTCGTGCAGTTACCGAGAGCTGGGGGAGAGGCGCGCCACGCCTAGGGGGACGAGTGACGGGAGGGGGAGAGTATAGTGTCTTTCGCAGGATAAAAGCAATTTTTTTTGCTTATTTATCGCACGAGTCCACAGAACAGAGAAAACTCTCTCCAACACCAAAGGCAAAGCGTCACGCACGCCGCACGGGGCACACGAAACAAGCGTAATTGGTGGCCACACCGCAAGGCGCGCCGTCGCTCGCGCACAACACTCACACGTCTCTCGCTCCGCACGCATACGCAAACGGGCCGTCCGCGCCCCCGCCAACCAACCTAGGTCTCAGCACCCAACGAGGGCCGCGCGTGCGCTCGCCACGCACTCGCGCTGACGCGCGCTAGCGCCGCCGCCGCCCACGCCGTCTAGCGCAGAGGGCAAGTCGAGGCCGGCGCAGAGCGCCTGCGTCTCCACATCGCCGTGAGCCAGAGTGCCGAGGGCGAGCGCCGCACGGCAGCTGGCCTCCTCGGCCGCCGCCGCCGCGACCGCCGGCGCGGTCGCGAGCGCCGGCGCGGTGAGCAGCTGCTGCAGCGCGCAGATCGCGGGCGTCTTTGTGTCGCTGCTCGCGGCGGAACGGCGGAGGAGCACCTGTGTGTGTTGCCGGTCCGGGCGGGAGATATGGGGAGATATGGGGAGATATGGGGAGATATGGGGAGATATGGGATCCATGTGGGACCATGTGGGGACATTTGGGGAGATATGGGGAGATATGGGGAGATATGGGGCGATATGGGACGATGTGGGACCATGTGGGAACATATGGGGAGATATGGGGAGATATGGGGAGATATGGGGAGATATGGGACGATGTGGGACCATGTGGGGACATATGGGGAGATATGGGGAGATATGGGGAGATATGGGGAGATATGGGGCGATATGGGGCGATGTGGGACCTTGTGCGAACATATGGGGAGATATGGGGAGATATGGGGAGAGATGGGGCGATGTGGGACCTCGAGCGAACCGTTCGGGAGATATGGGGAGATATGGGGAGATATGGGGAGATATGGGGAGATATGGGGCGATGTGGGACCTCGAGCGAACCGTTCGGGAGATATGGGGAGATATGGGGAGATATGGGGCGATGTGGAACCTCGAGCGACCCGTGCGGGAGATATGGGGAGATATGGGGAGATATGGGGAGATATGGGGAGAGATGGGGCGATGTGGAACCTCGAGCGAGCCGTGCGGGAGATATGGGGAGATATGGGGAGATATGGGGAGATATGGGAAGAGATGGGGCGATGTGGAACCTCGAGCGAGCCGTGCGGGAGATATGGGGAGAGATGGGGAGAGATGGGGAGAGATGGGGCGATGTGGAACCTCGAGCGAGCCGTGCGGGAGATATGGGGAGATATGGGGAGAGATGGGGAGAGATGGGGCGATGTGGAACCTCGAGCGACCAGTGCGGGAGATATGGGGAGATATGGGGAGATATGGGGAGAGATGGGGAGAGATGGGGAGACGCCG